GTGAGTCAATATATATGATTATATCTGCATTTCCAACTCATTCTCCTATAGATTAATATGGTTTGCAGCATCAAGTTTTTCTTATTGAGTGAAATTTTGAACACCAAAAATGTAAATAGGTCCTTACGAATTTCTTTCCATGTAGGCTCAACCTGATAGGGACCCAGTGAAAGAAAAATGGATGATAGGGATCATGGTGTCTGCCACAGTGGTGAAGTTTGTGCTGATGGCATATTGTCGTAGATTCAAAAACGAAATTGTTCGAGCATATGCTCAAGATCATCTATTTGATGTCATCACTAATGGAATTGGTCTTGCATCAGCAGTTTTAGCAATCAGGTTTTACTGGTGGATTGACCCTGTTGGAGCTATCATTGTAAGTCCAAGATATTAATTAACACCTAATTTTGTTACAACACCATTTTGGTCTCTGTGTTTTGAATTTGACAAATTTGGTCCTTGTCCCTTTTGCCTAATTTGACATTAACATATTAAAACACGGTGACCAAATTGGCCAAATTGAGAACCCAAGGAACAAATTGAAAATCCGAACAAAACACAAGGATATCTAACCCAAAACTATTTTATGGCAACAAGTGTAATTGATATTTGAAATACAATGCCTGTAGATTGCTTTGTATACAATGGGAAATTGGGCAAAAACAGTGATGGAAAATGTGTGGTCACTGATTGGGAAGACAGCACCAGCAGAGTACTTGGCAAAGTTGACATATCTGATTTGGAACCATGACAAGGAGATCCAGCACATTGAGACAGTGAGAGCCTATACTTTTGGTGGCAACTATTTTGTGGAAGTTGACATAGTCTTGCCTGGGGACATGTCTCTTAGTCATGCACATAACATTGGAGAAACACTTCAAGAGAAGCTTGAAAAGCTTCCTGAGGTTGAAAGAGCTTTTGTTCATGTGGACTTTGATATTACTCACAGGCCAGAGCACAAGCCAAAGTTGGCTTCATGATCAAGAAACACAAGACAAGAACAGTAGCTAAGTGTTGTTTGAACTAGCTCTTTTTTCAATTATTAAAAATCAATCCCAACATTTGAAGAAGGGAATTGAACATAGAGTAGGCCACAGTTATTGAACTACTACTTATCTGTATGAATAAAGTTTGTATGTTTATTTTGAGCTACTTGAACCTCAACGCGTTTAAATAAAAAATGAAGAAAGTAAAAATTTGTGATGGATGGTTTTTTTTCAACCCAAAGATTGCTCTTCTTATCCACCTAAAGAAAAAGTTAATAAAATTATCATTTGATGTTTTCCGTTTTTGCCACCATGAACACCGCCGGTCAGTGCTCAAGCCACGAGCATCACGACTTTGAACATGGCTGGAGAGAGGAGAGAATGATAGGAGAAGAGAGAAGGATATGAGAAAAGAGAAGGGGAAAACTAGCTTTTAATAGAAGAATCCAAACCCTACGGCATACACAAAACTGTCTATTTCACTTCTAACAAACAAACACAAAATTGAGGTTGAATACAGGTTAATCTAGGTGCGTGTGAAGTGATGGAGGTGCATTATCAAAATCTCATCATTCCGATTCATAAAACAAAACAACTGTGACAATTCTTCACAATCAAAATCTTATCATTCCGATTTTCTCAATTCTTGATTCAATAACAAGACTTGAACAGCTATATGTCCTAATCTAGGGGTACAAAGTATCTGGCAAGGAACCAAATGACTAAGAAAGTTGAACCCAAGCGAATTCTTCTTTGTAAGCCACACTTGCATCACATGAGGCTTCACATGTATAAACAGCAATTGTAGCCCAATCAAGAGAGTCCACGTCATTCTTCACATTAAAGTAAAATAGCAACTGTGGCATAATCTGAAGCCAAACAAAATACACACGGTCAAAAAACCGACTAGAAAGAAAATGTAAACTGTGAGCATAAAATAAATTAAAATGCAGAAACTTTGAGTTGGGGTTTAACCATAACAAAATATTGTCAAGATCACATTCATGATCCAATACCTGAAATTCAAAACACAATGGACCGGCACAATAACTGCATTTAGGAATATCAGCCTTGGATGGACGGCCACTTGACACGGGCCATAAGGGTTTAGCACCAGGAATTCTACAATACCTAATAAGTGGAAACAAAAAAAGTAATTGATCCATAATTTGTGAAGTAAAACGGGGTGTAGGAAAATAGTGATTATGATTTATTGAAAATATATATCACCTCAATACTTGCTCAGGTGCCAGGGCTATGCGCTCATGGAATGAAGCCCAGCTCTTTCTGTCATCATCACCCTTTTACAGGGGTATAAACATGTAAGAGTTTAAGCAATTAAACATTATTTTTCTTCTATCAGGGGTAAAAAGAAAAGAAGAAGAAAAGTGGAGAACACAACTTTCATTTCTGCCTACAGAAAGATAACATAAATGTTAGACTCTGAGATAACAACGATTAATACCTCGAAATTCTCTGCTATTGACATTAGTGCATCATCTGTCCGGTTACTAGACACCAAGGAATTAGTGCATACAGTATCATCAGGCATATCTGTGTCGTATGAACTTTCAGACTCCTGTATAATTTTGTACTCTGGCCATACATTGTTGCTTGCAACTGTTCACAAATGAAAAATAAATAAATACAGGTTCTCAGAAAGTCCTATTCTATTCCTATAACAAGGAAAAAACGCTGTGCCTTTTAGAAGTACTGCAGGAGTGGTTTCATCAGAGCTACTGTCACCCAACTGAGAACTTATCCTCAATCGTTGACAATCATGTTCATGACCAGTCCGAGAATGCTTGACCTGGAAATAAAAGAAAAAATTTGGTATACTCTAGGGATGGCTGTTGCTATTTGAAAGCGAAAAAAAAAGGCATAGCAGAAACCTAACAAATCAAATTACCCAATGTTTCTCTGAGCAATAAAGTGCTCTTCTGCAACCTGTACAGCGTTTAATCCCTTTCCAGCTGCCACACCAATTACAGAGTGCAGCTAGACCAATAGGAAAAGATCATCAAAAGAGCCCTTACATGGCAGAACATGTTAAATACAAAAAGACTGCTTACTGAATATATCTAAGCAAGGTTGTATGTTAAACAATCTAGCAATAATTCAAAGGTCAAAAGCTAGCAACTTTAAATGCAAAGTTAAACAAGATGCTACCTCCAGCCTTAAGAGGCGGGTCTGTACTATCCTTCTTTGGTGGCTCACTTGAGTAGAAAGGATTATCACGGGGTAATTGGCAGCGGAAAACCTTCACACTTCAGGAAAAAAAAAACATTACATAATCAGAAACAGAAACTAAAAACCCTTCGGTTATAGACAAAATAGGAAGAACAATACCTTCTAGAAGGCTTGTCCTGATGGCATTTCCATTGTTCATGTTGATCTCGACGAAGACACACCATTGATGTACACATAAAAACAAACAATGTTCGATGAAATGCAGATTGCTTCTCCTCTGGTGCATACACCTTGTAGCCCAATAAGCAGAAAGACTAATTATCACAACCATTCATCTTTTTATTGCTTAAAAAGGGCAAAGTATAGATAGAATTTTATCAACGAAATTCAAGTATCATCACTCACCTGAAGCACAAACTGCAAAGGTTCATCACATATGTCGCAAAAACAAGATCTTCTGGATGGCAAATTTTCTGGATCCAACCAAGCCTATGTGACAAAGAAAAAACACCATTAAAGATAAGTCTGAACAGTAAGTAAACATAAATGGAAGGGTTTAATAACATACGGGAACGCCTCCAGCCTTGGAAGGGAAGAAATGGCGAAGAAGAGAGCGGGCTTTCTTGGGCTTTTTCACAAAACCTAAAACCACAGAGTTTCTTGCTTCTTCGTCTTCTTCTTCTTCATCGCCTTCATCAATAACAATATCTTGTTCTTTTTGTTCTTCTTCTTCATCACTTTCATCGTCCAGTGAGGTGATTCGAAGACCCTTAAACTCTTCCGTATCATCATCTTTCAGACCACCAGCCATTTCCTTTGGCAATTTAGGCTAAAGCAGCTTCTTTTTTTTCAATCTCAAATTTGAATATACCTTAATTCACCTAAAACCTGATTGTACATGAAAGTTGAATGATACTTTTTGTTCAAGAACTGAATTCCAATAAAATGTAAAACAAACAATTTGACAGATAATATTTGTATGGACTTGACAGAAGAAGAAGGAAAAGTCAAAATAAGAATAATAAAAATGAAGAACCCAAATTTTGTTATTAAAAAAACACCCAGT